AGTAAATTTTTATAATATCCCACCAGCCGTAATATGATCAATTTTCCAGCCTCTAATTTCTTCTGTACTGTTTTCATTTTTCTGGCATTTAAATTCTTGAGGGCAAACATGATTATTTTCATTGTTTCCTAATGTAAGCCATGTAACTAAGTGTACCCTGCACTTTATATTTATATATGCATTTCATTATATGTTTTGGATGAAGTGAGATAATTATGTCTATTTCTTCATCCCTTCCCTCTCTGTTGGAATGTAGGATTCATGGAAGCAGGTCTTGTTTCATGGTATAGCTCAAGCCTCCAAAGCAATATGGTGAACGCTCAACAAATCCTTGTTGAAGCAACAACTGCACATCCGCTACGAAAACACCAGTGCGTTACTTACATTACACCGACTTAATGAACATATCTTATGCATACAGATAGCAGTTCCCATGCTTCCCTGACAGGCGCTATCTATGGTGGGTGGAGGAAGGTTATACAACAAAGCCAAAAAAATCAGCCACTCACATGCATAGGAATTCTGAAATGTAATACTTAGGGACACAGTGGCTTCAAAGTCACAGCGGTGTAGGGAACTGCAGTACGTCAGTCTAGGTCACCATTCTGTCTGTGATCTGCACTGACTCTACAAAGGCTTCTAAGAACTTCCCGAGGAAGAGGTTAGTGTTCTCTGCAAACTGCGTAACCAAGCAACTTGGGGGCAGCGTCTGCCTACAACATCAAGAACGAAATCACTTCAGTGGATAAGAACACTTTTAATTCTTTTTCATTTGTATAATTGTATGTGTCTAGGTGTATTTCTGTGAACTGTTATGTTCTTGGTGCCTGAAGAGGACAGAAGAGAGGGTTAGATTTCCTGGGACTGTTGCCAACATCCTATGTTGCTGGAAATCAAACCCATTTCTCCTGGAAGAACAATCAGTCCTCTGAACTACTGAGCCATCTCTCCACCCTGGACTCACTCTTGAAAGAGAGATTCTCCCAGCCAATCAGAGATGCGATCTGTTTTGTTTCTCATCTGCTTTGAAGGGGTTGCTCATCTCTGCATCGCCGTGTGCAAACACAGGGGATCCAGCACTGTTCTCTGGGATTATTTGGTTCTCAAATCCCTCCAGGGTGCCCTCACCACTCTCAAAGGCAGCTTCTTGTACCAATGGGAAAAGGAAGACGCTGAGAAGCAATTTTATCTCCCAACTGAACTTGATTAAATGAGAACTGTTCTAATCAAAAGTGTGAATCCGGGACGGGGGGAGGTGCCAGTGCAATACTGGTAACAGGTTTGGGAGTATTGGGAAGAATCGAGGAAGAAAAAATAAAGTCAACGTAGACAAAGAATCCGGCAAGAAGGTAATTGTAGTAAAGCTTATTAAGGCATAGGATTAGGTGAACAAATTGTCTCACAGACAGCTAAGTGTTAAGCTTATTGCTAGACTGGCAGAGGAAGTGGAAGAAAGCTTTTTTGAAAACATTATTTTTATTATTTTAATAATTTATGTAGGAATCATAGTAGCTGCAATCTGTTAGCCAGGAACAATTGCCAGCTGGTATCATCCTGGAGTAGCTATAGTAGGCCGAACGCAAATATGTTTTTCCTTTCACCTGGAGAGCATTCAGCTTTAGAAAGTTTCAATTCATTTTCTCCAGAATTTGGCGTCTGCCCTCGTAGATAAGAAGCCTGTTTATTGCATGACTTAAGAGCTTTGATTGGGTTTATGACGAATTCTACTGCGGCACTAAAGAGATCACACCTGGGGCAGAAAGGGTGTTTACCCAACCAAAGTTACCTATCATTGGGAACGGATTCCTGAGCACACACCTGCATTATCTCTGCAATTGTTCTGAGTCTATGCGTTGTTTTTCTTCCAGTTACCTCAAAGAAGGGGTGGCACCCCATCAGCTATTTCAGTGAAAGCGAAAACAACAACAACAGAAAAGGTCTTGTAGGATTGTAATGCTTGTGAACACGGCTATGAGGACACATGTACTTATGGACACACGTGTTACCAGCCACACAGCTGTTGCGTTTTACAGTGTTTTCTTCTGAAATTCTCACACATGTCCTGTTTTAATAACGATGTCATCGATTTATGATTGGTACCGTCTTTCCCTTGTTTATCTGGAAGCTATAACTAGACACCATAACATTGCAGGGTAGGAAATTGCTCTGTTTTGCCTAGCAAGCCATGGGGAGAGGGAAAATAACTTAATTGTTCTGTAGCAATTTTGTTGTCTCTTCCTGCCTCCTTCCTTAGAGGGTCTCAAGAGGAAATTATGAGCATTATGAGCTGTGTTGTTGATGATCCATGGGTTTCTTCACTGGAGATTTGCATGTATTTCAGGGCATTACAAGCTTCTAATTTTGACTTTACTTTCAGTTGACATTTCTTGGTTCAGTTTCCTCATCTCTGAAATGAGAGATTACCCATCTTTCTTTTTTTACTCTTTTTTAACTCCTTGGAGTGCTGTTCTGAGGAACCAAAAAGAAGATGGCTAGGAAAGACTTTTCCACTATGGAAATTATCACAACATCCTATTATCCATTTGTGTGTAAAGACTCTATTCAGCTGTGAGGAATAATGCCATATTCTAGAAAATATGGTATCTCTCCAATACAATAGCATGCAAAGGCATAACGACTTTTTACCTGAAGTGAACTATGTCCGTGCGTGCACACACGCGCATACATGTGTGTATGTGTGCGCGCGTACATGCTCTTGTGTGTTTGTGCATGTGGAGGCCAGGAGACAGCTTGGAATGTTGTCCTCAAGTATTATCCAGTCATCATTTGAGACAGAGACGATCACTGGCCTGGCACGTGCCAAGCAGGCTAGGCTGGTGATCTGTTTATCTCTTGTCTTTGCTTCCCTAGCGGAGACACCGAGATTACCAGCACTGAGTGTCAGGACTGTGCGGCTTTCAAAGAAAAAAATTATAGCTCTGGAAATTGAAACCCAGGAACATGTGTATGCATGTCATCAGTTATTGTCCTAGCCTTAAAAAAACAAAAGAAAAACAAACAGAAAACCCTGTGTCAACCCGATGCATTTAGGTAATAGTTCCCAAGTTTATTGTTTTCTTCTTCTGAAAACAAAGGTTTCTTGCTTTGGAGTGTCGTGTGGATGTCATTAAGAGGATTCTAAACTCGCGTGAGAGAAGATGGAGCCCAGAAAGCTGTAGAGAAGTCAATTCATCTTACCCAACACCTTTCTTAGGGATGCAGACCTCCACAGCATCGAGAATGGTAGGGTATGGATGGCAACTGCGAAAAGCTGAAAATGAGTGGAAGCAGAGGTGGGAAGAGCCCCACCTGTCTAGAACAATCAAAAAACCTCCAATGAACTGTGTTAGCATTCCCAAAAGAGATCTGGATTTTAACAGGTGGTTGCACACGCGGGCATGGCAGAAGGGGCCAGCACAGTGGAAGAAATAAGACAGGTAGAAGGTGTGCTGCTATGAAAGTGTGGGATACCGTAGCTGGTGGAGATGTCTGGCTGGTAACTAGGAGGGCCACGGTTAGCCTAGGCCAGTTCACACCGATTGCCCCAAATGTCAACACACTCTTATCTCTTGGCAAACAACTCTAGCAGGTTTAGGCATTGTGGGTCAGGTCCTCTAGTATGATGTGAACTAGTTGGCGTATCCATTCATTATCTGAAAATCGTAATGTGTCTTTAAGCAAAGATTGGATTCTGGGGTAATTTCAAAATGTACACTTCCGAAAAAACGAAGCTTTTAAAAACATCTGGGGACCGAGGAAGACTCCACTGTAAAACGCAGGCGAGGAGAGCTGGTGCTACGCTTCAATTGGGAAAGGTTAGACCCGAACGTTAAAGAGCTCACTGGGTGTTAGCAGAATGAATTTTAGGAGGTGACCCTTAAACTGCATTTATAACCTGCGTGGCTGTGTGTTGGACCGGCCTCGTGGGGGAAGAAATGAAGTATGCACCAGACACAACGCCCTTTACATAGCAGGCGTTTAATGGTTGCTGGTTGAATGAAGTTGTGGCGTTGGACCTGCTAAGTTAATAGTTAAGGAAGGATTGGAACAAACTTGAGCACTCAGTTTGAATGTCTTGGGGAGACAGTAAAAGAAGCCTGGAGTCATTCCCATGCTGAGGAGGGACAAAAAACCCCTGTCTGTGTGGGACTTCCTGCCATAGGGGTGTTATTCCTGCAAACAAGACCAAGCAGGTTTCGGTCCACTCTCATGCAGAGAAAGCTGCCAGTGTTGCCATTTAGAGGAATCAGATCATTGCTAACAACGCCCTCCGTGGAGCCTGTTCTCGCCTTTTTGTCAGATCTCCCCAGCTCCGGGCTGAAAGGATTCCCACCCCCAGCAACCTCCCGCGAGCCCCACGGAGTCGCGGACTCCTCCCCTGGAAACTCCTCCGGGGTTGAGGAAGGCTTTGGCGCATGCTCCGTACCTAGGGCAGGTTTTTTGCTGCGGGTAGCAGGGCTCCTGTCACACCGGCTGGCGGGTTGTGGCGGTGCCAGCCCGCGTGAGCGAGTGTGTGCGCGTTGCCTGCGCCTGCCTGGGCGGGCGGACCCGGAGCAGTAGTGCGATTCGCCCGGGAGGCGGCTCCGCAGAGG